TTGGAGAGGGTGCAGGCCAGGCTGAGGGACTCCCCACCCCTGTGCACAAAATTTGTGCACCGGGTCTCTAGTGTATATATATTTATTGATTGATTTCAGAGAGGAAAGGAGAAGGAGAGAGAGAAACATCAATGATGAGAGAGATTAACTGGTCAGCTGCCTCCTGCATGCCCCGCTCTGGGGATGGACCCCGCAACCCAGGCATGTGCCCTTGACTGGAATCGAACCTGGGACCCTTTTATTCAGTGGATGCTCTATCCATTGAACCAAACCAGTTTGGCTCATTTTTTTTTAATTATTATAGTCATTCTAATAGGTATAAAATTGTATCTCATTGTGGTTCTGATTTTCATTTCCCTAGTGACTAATCATGTTGAGCATCTTTCATGTACTTTTTGTATATCTTCTTTGGAAAAAATGTCTATTCAAATTCTTTGCTCATTTTTTAATTGGGTTATCTTTTTATTATTGAGTTATAACAGTTCTTTATATATATTCAGGTTACTATACCCTTATCAGATACATGTTTGCAAATGTTTTTCCACCATTCTGTGAGTTTCCATTTTTGAAGTGTCCTTTGAAGCATTGCTGAGCTGCTACTCAGAGAGGAAGGGAGAAGGGAGAGAAAGATAGAAACATCAATGATGAGAAAGAATCACTGATCAGCTGCCTCCTGCATATTCCACTTTGGAGATTGAACCCGCAACCCGGGCATGTGCTCTGACTGGGAATCAAACCATGATCTCCTGGTTCATGGATTAATGCTCAACCACTGAGCCACCGTGCTGGGCTGCTGAGCTACTTTTAACAAATATTAAAACATCTTAAAACAAACTAAATTAGGAATATGTAATTGGTGACTGAATTATATGTTTAAATTTAGTAAGCATTATAATTTTACAATCAAACCATTGCTTTTGTAGCATTTATATGCTTGGTGCTGTTTGGGCACTCTGCATCATTAACTTAAATAATTTTCACAACAATCCTCTGAGGTAGAGACTTATCATCATAGTATTGTACAGAACAGAGGCAGAGGATAGTTAAGTAATTTACCTGAAGCCTAAGAGTAAGTAGCAGAGATGGGCTGCAGATAACCACCTGTGAGACTGCCAAGATGGAATTAAACCATTTCAAAGGACCCCTAACCCCTCGCTTTGGGTTTGAAATAATAGTGCTTTCGTGGTGTCTACACTCAAGGCATTTTTCCTCTCCATACCACGCCAGAAACTAGTACCCAGTGTCTTCATTTCTCCCTTTTCTCACAGTCTGGCTTCAGACCTTCTCACTTCTCGGAGGGTGAGAGAGGCTTAGTGTTTGGAAGTAATTGCGAAGTCACCAGCGTCCCCCAGGTGGAGTAGTGCTAAATTTCTGGCAACTAATGGGCTTCTAAGAACAGGGGGTTCAGCCCAATGAGGCTCCAAGCTGAGTCATGGGTGGAGCCAGTGGTGAGGGCAGAACGGAGTCCCTGCTGGGTGCCTACTGTGTGCAGCAACCAGCTTACCTGAACGGAGCCATGAGTTGGACCTGCCCACGTTGCCAGCAACCTGTTTTCTTCGGTGAGGCCCGGGCCGAGGAGCGGGAGAAAACTGGACGAGTGTGAGCCACAGGGTTCCCTGAGGACACAAGGAGCAGGCGCGGGTGCAATCCCAGACTCTGTTCTATCTGTGGGACTGGCATTCTGGCAGGATGGAGCTGGTCCCCTGGAGACACTCCCCACCATCTCCCGGAAGCAGGATGGGGCTGAGGGGAATAGGAGGGCGACTGGCAGCCCCGTTCTACCTTGTTCCCTACAGCAGAGAAGGTGAGCTCCCTGGGCAAGAACTGGCACCGCTTCTGCCTGAAATGTGAGCACTGCTACAGTGTCCTGTCCCCAGGAGGGCATGCAGAGGTGAGACCTAACTGGGGCACACAACCCTGTCTGTCACTGTCCTCCAGGCACCAGCTCTATAGTGGCCCTGTTGGTTCACCAAAGGCAGCCTCAGTGCCAACTCCCAAAACCTCTTACAGGGTGGGTCCTACACCAGCCAGGGTTCGGGGATCCTGAGTAGTACTGGTGAGCCCCATGCCATTTGAGGGGGAGGAGGAGGAAGCAGCACTGCTTCCTGGCCTGCTCTTGCTCTTTCCTCTGACCACAGCGGCTATTCTGCCATGCCAGCCCATCCTTATCCCTCCCAGCCCCACCAGCCCTGGCCAGGAGGCAGACACCTGGCAGTGTGTTTGGTAGGAAGACCTGTGAGGCACAGGAGAAGCCCCCTTATTCCTGAGCAATCCCTTTTCCTCTGCTTGTGCCTAGCACAACGGGAGGCCGTACTGCCACAAGCCATGCTATGGTGTTCTCTTCGGACCCAGTGGTAAGTACCAGCTTGGAAGGGGACAGAGTGCGGCAGAAACCCTTCCTGTGGCAGGAACCTGGAGACTCAAGCCTCACGCCCTCTTCTCTCTGCAGGGGTGAACATTGGTGGTGTGGGCTCCTACCTCTACAACTCCCCCATTCCCACCCGTGCCAACACCACTCCCCTCGACCCCAGCAGTTTCAGCCCCCCAAGACCCAGGACTGGTCTCCCCCAGCGCAAGAAAAGTAAGTGAGGCTGAGCCCCATTTCCCCTCCTCCTGACCCTTGCTAGGCAGGGAATGGGGTAGAAACAGGTGGCAGTCTCTCACATAGATCAATGACTCACATTCCTACAACTTGGTTTATGGCAAAATCGTCCATTATCCAAGACCAGTTTCTTTATGTTTCCTCATATCAGCTGCTGAGTTCAGAGGTAAAGTGGGCAAATGGCACTACCACCCGCTTTTACAGGTGAGGAAACTGAGGTCAGAGAGGGCAAGTGACCTTGTGTAGTCACAGCTAGTCAGAGGCAAAGCTGGTCTGGAAGTCGGGCCTCTCCGAGGCCAAGGCCACGGAAGGAACGACTTATGAGGAGTCATTGAGACAGGGCCAGTCCCTCACATTCTTCCACTTCTCCCCTCTGTTACTTTCTCCTGTCCCCTACAGTGGGCAGTGACATCGTGCTCCCCAAACACCTGACACCCTTGCCCTGGGCAGCTCTTGTATCAGCTCAGGTTTCCTGAGGATTGAGTTGCTGACAGGGTTGGGCTGGTGGGCACCTGAACCCCTGGGAGGATGAGAAGGAAGCAGGTGGTCCCTCCTGCAGACAGGAGGTGGGATCAGAGGGGACTCGGCTTTGTCTGAAGAAGGCATACTGGTGGCAGGCTCTGGAGTGAGCATGGCTTTGGGAGGAGGACAGTGCCGAATGCAGACTGGTGCTAGGGGGCCCTACTAGGCCTGGCCTCCACTTCAACCCTAGCCAGGGCCTCTTCCCCTTAAAGGCCCTTCCCACACGAAGACATTCACTGGGGAGACCTCGCTGTGCCCTGGCTGTGAGGAACCTGTCTATTTTGGTAAGTGACGAGAGAAAGTGTAAGGAGGGGAGTACAAGGTGGGCATCAAAGGGCAGGGAGGTGGTGCAAGGCTCCCAGCCCTGCCCATAGGTTACCAATTCTCTCCACCACCAGCTGAGAAGGTGACGTCTTTGGGCAGAAATTGGCACCGACCCTGTCTGAGGTGCCAGCGCTGCCGGAAGACCCTGACTGCTGGGAGTCATGCTGAGGTGAGCAGGGAAGGGGTGGGTGGTGATGCTGGGAGGAGAGAGGCTGGGGATAGTAAAGAGCCAAGCTGAGAGTGCTCTCTTTCTCTCTGTGTCCCAGCATGACGGCGTCCCCTACTGTCACATCCCCTGCTACGGCTACCTGTTTGGCCCCAAAGGTGGGCAGCCCCACCGTAGACACTGGGCTTAAAGTATGGCATGTGGGTCTGTGGGGATGTGTGGACAACTTCCCCTGTAATCAGATATATCCCAGGTCCTTCCTAGTTCCCTCCAGCCCAAAGCCCAGTACCCCCTGGCCCCAAGGCCCTGGGTGATGAGGCTCTCTCCCTCAGGAGTGAACATTGGTGATGTGGGCTGCTACATCTATGACCCTGTGGAGATAAAATCCAAATGAGATGCTTACAGAAGTCACCCTAACTCAGGCCTCCCATCATCCCCTCCATGATCCAGTGGGAGCTACAGAATTCTTCAATCCCACGGAGGTAGGGGAAGGTGGGATTCTGGCAGCGTGGGCCTCAGCTCCATAGCAGACCAGAAAGTCTAGACTTTCTCTGCCAACTCCTCCCTTTCCCATTCCTATCTTCTCAGGGGAACCGGCCCACCCCATTTGAATGTTGGCCTCTTGGCCTTTCCAATTCCTTTCCCCAGCAAATTCTGTAACTTCAAGGTACTAATAAAACTTGTGTTTATTCAGGCTTCTCCAATAAAATGCTGGCTCCCATGTCTTCATTTCTTCTTTGGGCATAAGGCCTAGACAGTAGGTTGGCGGGGGGGAGGGTTGGAGGATGCATTACCCTGCAGAGTGCCAGGGAGGTAGTAAGACCAGCTATGGAACAAAGAGCTCTGTCCTCTTGGCCCTGGCATTGGGCAGCCTCCAGCATTATACTGTGGACAGCATGCCCACAGATGGCATCATAGGACGGTCCCTTCTTTAGCACCACGTCTAGAAGAAGCCCCTTATTCTGCACGTCATTGAGGGTGACAACAGATAGATCCTGTGGTGAGGTCTGTTAAGAGGTTTCATTATCCATTTGAGAGATGAGCAAATTGAGGCTCCAAAAGGGAAAGTCACATGCCTAAGGTCACATAGCAAATCAGTGGCAAAGTTTAGATCAGAAGTCAGCACCAGACTCAGTGGCTTCCCATTCAGGGCTCATCCCACAGCTCCATACCGCTGCCCCAACCCAGGGAACCTTTATTTATAGAATCCCCTTAGCCAAGAGAGGCGCCAGGATTCTCCAGCAGCCCACTGCATTCTGGAACTTGTGTTGCTAGAAGTTGGATGAGCACAGGGTGGCACTGGTGGCAAATCCAGCCTTGAGCAGGGGGCTCAATGCTCCCAGCCCTGGTCCAGAACTTCTGTGGAGTGCCTGCTCCTGAGACCACTCAGTCATGGACCTGCTTCATGGGCACCTGTTCCTCCTGAAGGCTGGGCGGGGCATTAGGGAGGAAGGAGTCATGAATAATGATGGGGTTTAGCCCGAGTCTACCACCCCAGCCTTCCCCGTTAGTGCTGACCTCTGGCTCCCCCAACTATTGGTATATAAGTATGTGTACACCCACAAGGGACTCCTCCTACACATGCTTATACACATCCCTGATGTGCAGGTATACCCGAGTGTGCACACATCCACCTCTTCCTCGAAGGTCTTGGGTATTTATGTACCCACATAGATATGAACTTGAGCATGCTTTTATACACACAATTTACATACTTCAGGTCATGCACCAATGCATACTTGCACACATGCACCAGATACAGACATGTCTTCCTCTGAATCCTATCTAAGATGTAGGTACCTGAGCACCCATACCCACATGCAAATGCACACACCTCTTCCCCTCCACATCCTGGATGGTCTCTGGCAGCTGGGCCTTCTTTGTCTCTGGCAGCAGGAGGGCAGTGCAGGCAGCCAGCAGGGCAATCCCCCCATAAGTGAGCTTGGGCAGTGACAGCCATACTCCATCCAGCAAGGCCGCCAGTGGAGCCAAAGAGCCCCCAAGCCGGCCCACCAGTGCAGTCAGCCCCATCCCTGTCTGTCTGTTCAGAGGAAGGATGGGGGAGGAGGTTGTTGCTCACAGCTACTTGGAGACATGCCTCATGGGGCTTAGCCCTGGCTGGCAGGGAGTACCCCGTCAGTGCCCCTTTTTCTCCCCAGACAGCTAAGAAAGATGAGGCTTCTTTCAGGTGGTCTTCTCACCCACCCCTGGCCAACCTCCCCCCCCAAGTCAACACCCACCAGAGGATGGGGCCCCCATTCTGACAGAGTACCAGTGGGGTATCATTGAAGGAAAAGAAACATCACAGGAAAGGGGCGGGGGAGGGGGGGAAGTAGTATGGAATGAAGAGGGTCAGCAGCTCATAGATGATGCCAAGTTGTCAGTAGGTGCAAGGCTTTCTAATCATACTGGGCTGCCTGCATGCCTCCTCCTCACCTGCCAACAGCTAGTTGAAAGGGGTCTAGACCCAACTCCCAAGGGCAGCTCTGCCCGGGCTGTGGGGTGATGGGGTGGGGTGGGCAGAAGGAGGCCCAGAGAAGCTGTCTGACCTCTCTCAGGGTCACTTAGTGAAGGAGGTAAAATGCCCCCCCTCCTCCCAGGCTGAGGCCAGCAGAGGCTCTGATTAAGCCCGTATTCCGTGTGCTGAACAAGGACTGGGTGAGAGGGACTGGGTGCCATGTGCTGTGTGTATGGGAGGGTGCTGGTAAAAGATGAGACTAACAGACCCTCTCCTCACCTGAGCACAGTAGGGTACAGCTCCGAGGTGAACAAGTAGGCAGTAGTGAAGGCAGCTTCAGAAAAACCTTTCCCCACCACCGCCAGGGCGGTGCTCCAGTACACCTTCTCTGGAGGAAGAGGGGTTCCGGATGGAAGGCGGAGCCCTCAGAGAGCCCTCCAGGCCTCCGGGAAAGGGCGGGGTTCTTGGCCAGGAGGCGGGGCCTGGGCGGGTAGGCGGGGCCAGGGAAGGCTCACCGGCGGACACCAGCAGCCTGCAGCCCAAGGTGAGGGCCGTGCCCAGCAGCGTCCCTGCCTGCGTGAGGCGGCGGCCGGCGTGGCGCACCGACAGGTAGACCAGCAGCTTGGCGGGCAGCTCCACGGCCCCGAACAGCAGCTGCGTCTGATACACGTTCAGCCCCAGCCCCGCCAGGTCCAGGCTCAGGCCGTAATAGGAAAAGTTCACGCCAAACCTGAGGGGTCACAGTGCCTGCCACTCAGGGCCCTCCTTCCCTGGCCGCTCAGGGAACTTGGCCTTTAGGAGAGACCACCTCCCCCTTGTGGCCAAAGCTTCTTTGCCTAATCTTCACAGCAGCCCTGCGAGGTAGGAACTAACAACGTCCCGTTTCACCTGTCCAAGGTCTCACAATAAGGAAAGGGCAGAGCCTGGATTTGAACCCAGATGATGACTTTTCCATCTTCTGACTTTCCAGAGCCCCAGCCCCCCAACCCCCATCCACCACCCCCACCCTGCTCTCCACAGAGTTTACTTGTCCTGTTTCCTGTTACACTCAGCATCATCCTGAAGCCAGCCCCTCCCTCCGCGCCCCATCCCCGCCCCTCCAGGCCGGCCCCCTCCTCACCACACCACCATGCAGCACAGTGAGATGTGTCGGAGCCGCGGTGTCCGAAACAGGTCCAAGTAGGAAGGTCTTCGGACCACCCGCTCTGCAGCTGCTACTTTCCTCAGGGCCTGGTGGGGGAGGAGAGTCGGTGGCATGGAGTTGCCTGAGTGGCCTCAGCAAGGCACATGGCTCTCTCTGGGTCTCTTGCTCCCTTCTGCGTTGTAGGTGGGAGACGGATGCACATGGGAGCTGAGCAGGGAAAACCGGCGAGGGTGTGGCCCACCAGAGGACATCCTGGGAGAACTCTACATTGGCCCAGGGAGCTTTTTCTGCACACACAGAGGGCCCCAGGAAGGGAGCGCTTGACACACGCCACACACATGGACTTGGATGCACTCGCACGCACGTTCACCCTCACCTCCAGGCTCAGGCTGTCCTCACCCACAGGCCGCCCGTTGAGCCTGGCGCAGCAGAGCAGGTACCTGCGGGCCTCTTCCACACGGCCCTGAGTCAGAAGCCAGCGTGCAGACTCAGGCACCCACCTGGGGGACAGCAGGCGGCGCTTCAGTCAGCACCCTAAGCCATGTCTCCCTCCCGGCACACCGCAAGCTGTTCCTCAGCCTGCAGCATCTTCCCATCCCTCCTCACCTGATGAACTTTATTCATTGTTAAGGCCCAATTTAAAAGCCACTTACTTTCCCCACTCTTCTTTGCCCAGGCCTAGATTCTCCATAGCCCGGAGTCATTTCCCTATTCACCTGAATTGGTGTCACCCCCAAGATCTCAGCCCCCAGGACCGGCCTCCCACTTCTCCCACAGGTGACAGGAGGGCATAGGATGAATGAGAGACCCAGAGGTGTCATTCAAAGCCAGCTCATTTGGGGAAGGCCATGAAATGCCCACCCTGCCTGGCCTTCCCTCTACCTGGACTTCCTACCTCCATGCTGGCTCTGTCCTCCAGGGCACCAGCCTCAGTTTGTGCTTGGCTCTGTCTCTCATGTCCCTATTGTGTGTGTGTGTGTGTGTGTGTGTGTGTGTGTGTGTGTGTGTGTTTCTCTGCATCTCATGTCTCTGAGTCACAGATTGTTTTTTCATTCTCCTTGTCTCAGTCTCTCTGTCTTCAAATCTCAGCCTCTGATTATTCTGTCTCTGACTTCTTCTCACTCCCCAGCTGCTCACCAGAGGCTGATGATGCCTGGGACACAAGGCAAGGTGACAGCCAGCAGAAGCCATCGCCAGTCCCGTATCAGGTACCCGACCAGTGCCAGCAGCATCACTCCCCCGGTCCAGAAGGTGCTGCTCAGGACACCTGCCACGGTGCGGTGTCCCACGTCCAGCCACTCCAACTCTGTCCACGGCCAGAGACAGGAAGACAGTCAGCCTGGGACACGTGGCGCAGTCTCACCCTTGACAATTGCCTCCCTCCAGCCCGGAAGGCCCTGCCCATTCCTTTGCCTCCTCACCCAATGGCATCACGATGATGGTGAAGCCAGCCAGGGCTGTGCCGGTGAGGGTGCGGGTGATGACGAACATGATGTAGTTGACCGAGGCTGCACAGGCCAGGCCCATCCCCAGGGCACTCACGTAGGCCACCAGCAGCAGGCGGCGCCGCCCAAACCTGCACAGGGTCATGCGGAGTTAGTTCCCTGCAGAGGGGAGATCCCAACTGAGGTAGACTAGACCCAGACCCCAGCCAGTGGGAGAAGGTTCTCCCCCCCACTCCCTCATTGCCCCCCACCTCACCCCACCTGTCAGACAGGTATCCGAAGGCCACAGCCCCCACCAGCACACCGATGAAGAAGAATGTAGACGTGGCTTTGTTCAGGCCTTTCTGCTCACACACCAGGTCCCACTGCAGGGACAGGCAACGAGGGGCCTCCCATAGGCACAGGCCCCTCTCCCAACTGGCACCAACCCCTCCACGCCAGACCCTGAGTCCTTCTGAGGTGCCATCCTTGTACCTCCGCGTCAGATAATAAACCTCTGACTATTCCCTTCAGCTCGGGGCTGGGAGACTTTGTCCCTCCCCAGTCCTGCATCTGCAGCTTCTTCCCACAAGGGCTTGACCATGACAACAGGAGGCCTGTACTCCCCCGCACCCCACCCCAAGAGATTCTTTCCCCACCTGCATGCACCCCCAGTTACAGGCAAATTCTGTAAATCCTAGACCAGGGGCCCAAATGAGGCAGAAAGAGGAGCCCCCTGTTGTTTCTCCACCTTTTACTGCAGAAACACCCTTCCCCACGCTCAGCCCAGCTCCCTGGAGCTGCCTTAGCCTCTCCTGCCGCAATTACCTCCCAATTAATACAGCAGCTCCCCACATGTAATACCTTCAGCAATAAAATTTTTTTTAAAAAAAGTAGCAGCTCCCATGTATGGACTCTTTATTGCAAGCTCTGTGCTTTAAGTTAATATGTCGATGAGGGGAAACCTGAGACTCTGAGAAATAAAATAATGAGACCCATCCCACTCACGTGTCCCCCGGCCTCCTGGCTCAGGTACCTCCGTTGCGATGGTGGAGGAGAACTCCGAGTGGTCGTACTCCCAGCCCTGAGGGCACGGCTCTGTGGAGGGCGCCCCCGACAGCTCCCCAGGACTCTGCCCTTCTCCCCCCAACGTCGTGTTGGGGAGGGCCTGGGCGTAGGTGAAGCGGAAGCAGGAGCTGAGTGTGCCATCCAGCTCCCGGGGAAGGTGGGCCTCCAGCCACATGTCCTGGCTGACGTTGGCAGGGGCACCAGGCAGGACACAGTGGTGGGCAGGCACGGCAGCCAGGAAGATGGGCAGGAGGAAGTTCATAGGAAGCAGAATTCGGGGCCACAGGGCCAGCAGGGCCACATTCCGCAGTTGGAAGGGCCCAAAGCCACCCACCTGGTCTAGCAGCTCCTCGAAACCCATGCCACCCACAGATAACTGTCCCCCGTGTGGGCTCCCTGTGTAGTAGTCAGCACAGCTCAGCCCACCCACCGTATGGACCCTTGGACTCTGGGGGCGGGAGCAAATAGACTATGGGTGGAGAGCCTGCAGCCACAGTCCAGCCCTTGGGGGCTGGCCCAAGACTGGCCCTTCCCTGGCCACCTTCGGATCCCTGCCTGTGCAGTCCGTGCCTCGGAGGGAGAGGGCTGCCATCCATTCAGGGGTCACTGACTCCATGGCTCTGGGACTTACATATTGGCGCTCAGGGACCAAGTGGGGTAACTTTGGGCTGCCATGATGGGCAGCTGGGTGCGTAGGAGCTGAGCCCGTAGCCCCCTGATCAGCAGAGCTTCAAGGGTCCCTAAGAGGAGGAGCCTGCTGGGCATGGTGCCAGCTCTCCTTGGATGCCCTTTGTCCTATGAAACCCAGGTGAGCCTTGCCTATTTGCAACCACAGCCTGGCCAGCAGCCCAGGATTCAAAACCAGGTGAAGGGTTTTTACTGCTGAGCTGTGAGTGCTCTCTGTACCCTGTCAGCTTTATGTCCCCACCTGGAGCTTATGCTCTGGCATGAGACACACCTGGAACCACCCTGAGCGGCCTGGCCAATCTGGGGATTCCTCCCCCTTCTTCACTCAGGTGCTCTCCTATGCACACATTCCCTCCTGCCTGCCCGCAGCCCTATTTCCAAGAGCTTCCTAGGTTACCCCGAGGACGTGTGTAAGGAAAGAGAGGGATTGCCATAGGGAAGTGCAATGCCTAAGGCTTGGGATGTGTCTGTCTTACCCACTCAGTTCTCTTAGCCCTGCCACTGAAGCACAGCAGAAACCAGCAATGTCAAGTGATTCTGATCTGATTCTTCAAACACCAGGTCAGCAGAGCTGGGATGTTATCAAATTATGTTCCAAGGGCTCCAGATTTCTAAGCAAATAGGCTTCTTCTTTTTTTAAAACATTTGTATTGATTTCAGAGAGGAAGAGAGAGGGAGAGAAACATCAATGATGAGAGAGAATCATGGATCAGCTGCCTACCACACACGCCACACTTGGGATCAAGCATGCGACACGAGCATGTGCCCTGACCAGGAATCAAACCGTGACCTCCTGGTTCCTAGGTCGATGCTCAACCACTGAGCCACGCCAGCTGGGCATCAAATAGGTTCCTAAGGGCCCAAGTTTTCTTAAAAATAATAATAATAATAAATTTTTAAAAATTGAAAATGATACATTTCATATAGCCCCCACTTTGAATAGATAAGAAAAGGGGGTGTGTGGCTTGCTGGGATCACATGGTGACTGCACAGCAGAACTGAAGAGGGGACTAGGACCCCTGGCTCTGGCCCAGGCCTTGGACCTCAGCTGCTGAGCTGGGGATGTTCCTGTCTGCACCGGGCTGAGCTCCCTCACAGAGCTCTGAGGAAAGGGCTGCTCAGTGACACGGTGTGTTCCTGGTGGTGTCACGGGCATGGGAGTGAGGGCAGTGATTTGGAGGTGGTGACAGGAGGGGATAAAAGTAAGAGGTATTTGTTGAGTCTCTAGTGTTACCCCACTAGAGTGCAGTACGAAGGTGTCTCAGACACAGTCCCTGCCCTCAGTGAGGGTGCAGCCTGGCAGGAGGGTTAAAATGAGTCTGTGAAACCTTCCTACCTGTCTCACCCCTTTCAACCCGCTCTCCGCATACCTGCCACAAGGAACATTTCAGAACAGATGTGACAGAGCAGTGTGGCAGCTCTCAGTGCCAGAGGGTGAAAGTCCAGCTCCCTAGCTTGACCCATGTAGCCCCAAGACCGGCTTCTCCCCGCCCTGCCTCTGGCCCTCCCAACAAGGCCCCTTCCCTCCAGTTCCCCAAACTCAGCAGCCTGTTGGCACCTCACACGTTGGTGCAGAGGCACCTCTGGCCTCCCTCTCATTCCCCTGGTGGATGCCCAAGGCATTTCGGAGATCAGCTCCAGGGTAAAACCACTCCTGTCCCATTTGCTGTCACTCACATGTGATCCCCACGCTATTGGTTCCTCCCTCATTCAATGTTATATAATCAGATTATTTATATTGAAATATAATATAAAACAGCACAGCACTTCGTGGCTCCTGGGAGGTAAGTTTTGCTGCCGTTTCATCTCCATGTTCACTCAGAGGCTCTGCAGCCAGCGAGGCCAGCCCTGGGCACTGGCTGGGATGCCTTTGTTTTCACAATGGGCGTTTCTCTCCTGCCTTCACATAAAAAATAGCTGATAGTCATATAATGATCCCCTCTCCCTCTGCACTGGCGCCCAGGAAACCCAAATCTAAATCTGCAGCCCCTTTTTACAGCGAGGAGTTTTGGCATTAACTGTACCCCTGGCTTCATCTTACTCCCTGTCTCCAGCCCATGTGGTAGCTCGCCTCTCCGATGGCATCAAGGAATGATGGTGACCATGATGTGTGGAGGCAGATGATGGATCTGGACAGGCAAGGTGTGTAATGCCAAGAGTCTAACCACAAGGCAGATCAGCTCTGAATCACCAGTTGAGAACTTGTTTTGGCCGAAACTGGTTTGGCTCAGTGGGTAGAGCACGGCCTGTGGATTGAAGGGTTCCGGGTTTGATTCCGGTCAAGAGCATGTACCTTGGTTGCGGGCACATCCCCAGTGGGAGGTAGCTGATCAATGTTTCTAACTCTCTGCTTTCTGTCCCTCTTTCTTTCTCTCTCTCTAAAAAAAAAAAAAGCAATAAAATATATTTTTAAAAAATACCACTTGTTTTGATTAAAATTTTTTAAAATATATTTTATTGATTTTGTACAGAGAGGAAGGGAGAGAGAGAATTAGAAACATCGATGAGAGAGAGTCATCGACCAGCTGCCTCTTGCACACCCCCTACTGGTACATGCCCTTGACTGGAATTGAACCTGGGACCTTTCAGTCCACAGCCCAACGCTCTACCGCTGAGCCAAACCAGCTTTGGCTTGCTTTGATGAAATTTTTAACTATCCCCATCCTCCTCCCACCTGGAAATTCAAACCTGATATATATATATATATATTTTTTTTTTCTTTTTTTCTCTTTTTTTTTTTTTTTAAGAGGTCCATCAGGGGACTGGCAGGTCCTAACATGTGGAGCATCAGGTAGGCCCTAACTGGGCCTTGGGAAGTAAGTGTGTCCGACAGGTCTCGGGCTCCTAGGGAGAGCAGGGGGGAGATAAGGGAGTTCTCTGCAAGCTTAGTTCAAAAGCAATCCTCCTGGGCACAGCCTACCCCTGCCTCAGGCTTGGTCCTCCCCCTTTCAATCCGCTCTCTGCTCCCCAGTTCACATCTGTGACCACCACCCTGAATCACAAGCAGTTCTCACACCTTCACAACTTCCTTCCCATGCTGCTCCCTCTGCTCTTCACCTGGCTGACTCTTATCTTTCAAATTTAGTATAAGAGTCATATTGAAAGCCTTCTTTGAAGTTTCCAGTCTCGGCTGGGAGTCTGCCTGAACCTTGTGTACCAGCGTACATAGCACATATAAAGTGGAAGTTAGTCTACAAACCTTCCTCCACAGCTCACTGTGCACTGTTTCAATTCCCCATCTCTGGCAGCCTCTGGCACATGAGGGGCTCAACAATTAATTGGACAAATGGATGATTAAAGGAATGCAAAATAATGAAGAAATGATCCATAAAATTCTTTCATTCTTGCCGAAACCAGTTTGGTTCAGGGGATAGAGCGTTGGACTGAAGGGTCCCAGGTTTGATTCCGGTCAAGGGCATGTACCTTGGTTGCGGGCACATCCCTAGTGGGGGGTGTGCAGGAGGCAGCTGATCGATGTTTCTCATCAATGTTTCTAACTCTATCCCTTTCCCTTCCTCTCTATAAAAAAATCAATAATATATATATATTAAAATATATTTTATTGATTTTTCACAGAGAGGAAGAGAGAGGGACAGAGAGCTAGAAACATCAATGAGAGAAAATCATTGATCAGCTGCCTCTTGCACACTCCCTACTGGGGATGTGCCCTCAACCAAGGTACATGCCTTGACCGGAATCGAACCCGGGACCCCTCAGTCCTCAGGCAGACACTCCATCCACTGAGCCAAACCGGTTGTAGCTAAAATATATTTAAAAAAAAAAATAGAGCAAGATATAATTTTTCATTTATTTGATAATTCTGGGGATTTCCACTAGAATTAGACTTAGAAAAGTAAGCAAACATCAAAGCAAGGATATTAATTGTGGCACTATTTGAAATAGTAAAACTTGGGAAAAAATCTAATGGAAATCAGCATGGAACTGGTTAAATAGAATAGGAGGTGGAACATTCATGCCATGGACTACTAATTGCCCTTAAAAAGAACATAAGGGTCCTCATACATTACTAATGGAAATGTACAGTGGTGTGGCCACTGTGGAAAAGCTTCATCATGTCTCAAAATATTAAACATAGAGTCACCATATGACCCAGCAATTTATTCTGGACATTTTCACAGAATATATATCCAAGGGAAATGGAAATGTACGTCCACATAAACACTTGTAAACAAACATCCATAGCAGCATTATTTAGAATAGCCAACAGACAGAAAAAGCCAAGTCCACGATGATTGGATGAACAAATGTGGTCTATCCATACAGAAGAACATAACTCAGCCTTAAAAAAAGAATGAAGTACTGATACATGCTACAACATGGATGAACCTTGAAAACATGTTAAGTGGCCGAAACCAGTTTGGCTCAGTGGATAGAGTGTTGGCCTGCGGACTGAAGGGTCCCAGGTTCGATTCTGGTCAAGAGCATGTACCTAGGTTGCAGACACATTCCCAGTAGGGGGTGTGCAAGAGGCAGCTGATCAATGATTCTTTCTCATTGATGTTTCTAACTCTCTCCCCCTCTCTCTTCCTCTCTGTAAAAAAAATCAATAAAATATATTTTCAAAAACAAACAAAACAAAACATGCTAAGTGAAAGGAGGTAATTACAAAGAACCAAATATTGTGGGATTCCAATTATATGAAATGCCCCAAAT